CGCTGCATTTTCTTCTATCTGCGACATCTTCGTTGCCCGTAGTCCGGCTTGTTTCGTCCTTTTCGGCCTTGGGTTATAAGGCTCACTGAGGAGCGGCAGCTCCTTGAAAGTTACGGTAAAGTGAGAGAGAAAAAACCGCGTTGCCTCATTCTTTTTCTTTTTCACTCTACCGTAACTTTCAAGCCTCATAACTCAAAAAGTACTTAATGAAAAAATATTTTATTTTAATGTTTTGAAAAGCTCTCGAAGTAAGCTACAACAATATGCAATGCAAAATGGGGGTTACCATTTAAGAAATTGAAAGTGATCTTCATGTGATCTTCAAACAACTATCCAAGGTCAAACCAATGACACCATCTTATGTCTTCCCACTGTTGTTCTCAGAGACGCTTTTTTTGCGCATGCGCGACGCAGTATAGAATCCAGTAATGTACATAAGAACATACGACGAATGAGCGTGAAAGTTTTGGGGAACTCCGGAGGTTAGGCTAGAGCAGTGTTTCCCAAAGTGGGTTCCGCGAAAAAATTCTCGGGTTCCGCGAGATAAAGTGTCTTTTAACAAGTTAGGCGACATGAAAGGCTCATCTACAATGTGCTTTTTGCGTCTTGTTTCGTGCCTTCTGCTTTTTGTTGTTTGTTTCTTGTACTTTTGTCATATGGAACTGTGAAACATTGTCATGTACAATTTGTTTCTTCTGAATTTCCGAAGAAAAATGTTATTTCACATTGATTAATCATAGATCAATATTCAACAGCACTCTTATTGACTAATGATGTTTAAGGTAATATTTTAAGATAATTTTAATGTATGAACTATGAATATCGATTAAATAAAATAAATAAATATCCGATACCATTGTTGTCATACGATGTTTCTTTGTTTTCTGTCGCTCGAGATAAAAGTTGACGAACTTTGTAAGAAACAAGAAACACGTGACAAGAAACATGATTATCGGTAAAACAGTGCTCAAAGAGGCAAAAAGATAACAGACAAAAAGCAAAAAACAGGAAGTAAAGAGCACATTGTAGATGAGCCTGAAATGTCGCTTTCAGTTGAATACATACATTGCATCAGTGAAGCACCAGTGATGCCAGTTCGAGCCCGCTGATACCATGGAGTAGTGGAGGAGCAATGTTACCTTGTGGCCGGCTTGGTTGAGCGCGCATGAACATGTGACATCAGTGGTCTCGCTTGTGTGGATACTTCCTCCACTACGGTATCCATGCTAGCGGGCTCGAACTAGCATCACTGCGTGATATTGTTTTGTTTTTGGTTCCTTTATCGTGTCGTAGTTTGCGTCTTTATAAATCAAATAAAACTTTTTTAAAAATACATTTTTCTTCAATAAAAAAATTCAAAATTTTAGAAATTCTACCCTACAATGGATCAATAGTTAAAATACAAATTTATAATAATTAAAAAGAGAATTGGATTTTATTTTAATATTTCAATTATTATAAATTTTTTAATATGAATAAATTCTCTCTCTAAAACAATTTTTGTTTCATTTAATATCTTATTAAAATTAGAGTGGCAGTGGAGTTGTCTGTAAAATATAGGTATATTTCCGCGACAAAATAAGCTGGGAATCACTGGACTAGAGGTATGAGATTTGATAAGTGAATAAATTAATATATTATATATTATTATTATTGAACAAAATTATTAAAATCGGTTGTGATATGGATATTAGTAAAGGAGCCATTAAAAAACGAATAGTTAGACATTTTCAAAATTCGTGGTTAGATAAGGATATTTTTAAAGAAGAGTTCGGAATTAGTTGCACATTTTGAGCTAATTCCCGAGACGACGCCTCCTATTTCCCCACTACCGCCCGGCCGCTGGCGACCGAGCCGCCGATAGCTCTGGCTCAAGAGTGTTTTATATTAGAAATAGGCTGGGTTGTTTAGACATCTCTCAGAAAATCGTAACATTTTCTTCGCTACATAAATAATGTTTATTTTCATTAATAATTAAATATATATATTATGTATTAATAAACATAAATATTATTTATGTAGCGAAGAAAATGTTACGATTTCCAGAGAGATGCCTAAACAATCTAGCCTATTTCTAATATGAAACGCTCCTGAGTCAGAGCATCGGCGGCTTAATTGCCAGGGGCCGGACGGTAGTGGAGGAACAGGGGTGGCGTCGTCTCGGGAATCGGCCCGAAATGTGCAACTAATTCCGAGCTCTGTTTTAAAAGATGGTTGGCTCCACATCCTACTAAAAATAAAGTTTTTTGTTTTTTGTGCAATATCACCATCAGATGTTGCAAAGCAGACTTACGACATTCACAAAGGGCCAAACATATAAAGAAAGTCAATTTTGAAAATCAAAGCCATAACTCTAATAATAATAATGATGTTTTGCATAGTGATAAAGTTAAACGAGCAAAGATTAAATTAGCAGCCTTTTTTGCAGAACATAATGTAACTTTTTATACCGCGAATGATTTAGTTCTTTTATTAAAAGATATTTGTATTGATTCTAAAATTGTACAGAATCTTTCATTAACTCGAAAAAAGTGTATCAACATTGTTAAAAATGTTATTGCAAAGCGCAAAACCAAAAAAACTATTGAAATTTTAAAAACACGTAGATTCTCAATTTTAATTGACGAAAATACGAATATTTCGGATACAAAATTTATGTACATTCTTGTACAATTTTATCATTTGAAAACAAAATAAAAACACAATTATTAGATTTGATATCTTTAAATGGTGCAGATTGTTCTGCAAATAAAATTTTTCAATTTTTTAAAGAATTTTTAAATGGTAAAAATATTCCTATAAATAACATAATTGGAATGGCAAGTGATAATACACCAGTAATGATTGGATACAAAAATTCTTTTTTTTCGCATTTACAATCAGAAATGCCGAATGTAATAATCTTAAATTGTATTTACCATTCGTCTGCAATTATAGCTAGTAAAGCTTGTGAGAAATTACCGGAATCTTGTGAAAGGAGGATGTTAAATATAGGTCGATTTTGGCCCATGGTATGGAACCAAAACTACAAATAATTTCTTATAGATTTCATACCGTAGAATCACGTGGTAAAGTTTGTTTTCCTCCAGACACCGGGGAAAGTACGGAAAAATTGAAAAAAGACCATGAAAAATGAAATTTTCCGAGCTGATTGAAGCTTGGAACATTCCAGCAGCGATTTAAAAAAAATGATTTGTCGCTCTTGTCCTTTTGCAGGGAGGAAGTTCTGAGGCCCTCACATGACATACAAAAAAGACCGATCCGATACATGCGTCGGAAAACACTCTTATACCCGAAAAACCACCCCCAAAATTACTTAAACGATTCTCGCCAAGCTAGAAATGATTTGTCGCTTTTCTTCTTTTGCATAGAGGAAGTTTTGAGGCCTTCACATGACATACAAAAAAGACCAATCTGATACATGCGTCGGAAGACACCCTTATACCCGAAAAACCACCCCCAAAATCACTTAAACGATTCTCACCAAGCTAAAAATGATTTGTCGCTCTTCTCCTTTTGCATAGAAAAAGTTCTGAGGTCCTCACATGACATACAAAAAAGACCGATTCGATACATGTATCGGAAGACACCCTTATACTCAAAAAACCACCCCAGAGTGCCTAAAAAATTCAAGGAGAATCAAATCGGGGAGGGGGGGAGGTGGGACACTTGTGAACGTTCCCTTGTCAGAGTCACACTTTTCTAGTCAATATTTTTTTTTGCATATTTCTGATATGATATGTGATTTAGTAGTGTTTAGTTAGTTATTTTTGTGATATAAAATGTGTGCAATAATATATACATATTAATTTTATTTTTCTTATTAATTTTTTAAATTATATTTAGCATTGTAAAATTATTTTTATTTTTATGCTAAATAACTTAATTTTTTTCTTATTTATTTTTAAGTTTATAAAAAATATATATTTTGTTTTTTGTGATTTATAAATGAATATATAAGATAAATTATATTTATAGTAGGTGCGGTATTTTTTATTTTTTAACTATTATTATGTTAAAGTATTAACTATTATTATGTTAAAAGTGTAAGATATTTTGTTACGAATACTGATAAGATTTTTAGCAGTTTTCCTTACCCTTGCAACAAATGTTGGTATTTTTTATGATTCTGCTAAATAAAATATTTTGAGTTTATGTAAAAAATGATGAAAAAGTTATTTTAATACCTTCCCTTCTTTCAGATTAGTTTTTATATTAATTTTAATATATCTTAATTACATATTTATAACAAAATATTATATATTAAATATATATTATAATATATTTTAGTATAAAATAACTTTTTAATTGACGTAGTATATTGATATCACTTTACTTTTGACGTTACTTTTGTTGAAAAAACAAAACAAATTTATTAAATAAATGTTTCTTAAAGTAATATCTTTAGAATAATATAATTCCAATGTATCTTTTCTTATTATTTTCTAAAATATTTTTAAACTAATATTAGTATTGTTTAATTAATTATTTAATTGAAGGGTCTAAAAGCACTTCTTTTCTCATAAATTGAATGCTTCACTAAGGTCGCGTTAAACATGCGCGGTTCGCACGCGCATGTGCGAAAAAAAACGTCTCTGAGAACAACACTGTGTCCCCCTCGAAGTCACAAAACTTTTGTATGAAACATTTTTCTCTAAAATGCTTTGTTTCTGAGGTATAAATGGCCATTTTTATATACCCTCCTTTCCGTTGCTATTTTGCGTAAGATTTTGTGTGGCGCGAATCATCGCACCTGGCATTCAACTAAATAACATTTTCGCCGTTGCGATTAGTCATTGCTGTTTAATACCGAGAGCGACGAAGATGAGCGTGTTCTTTCGAATAAACTTTCGAAAATAGCACGTTGCAGAATAAAATTATTACAAATTATAATAAATAATTTAAAATACACATATGATTATAATTTCGAGTAAAACTTTTTATAATTTCTGTTTAATGGATAAAATATTAACGTAATTAAAGTATATATTATTACTTACACTTAACGGAACACGTCGTAAAAGCTGGGTGCTGGTAAGCGCAACTGGTTCCGGATTAATCACACCTTCCAATGTACAATACTGCTCTTCTACGCAGAGCAAAGCAGCTGCGCATCCCAACTGAACTGGAAACTGGAAGACTACAGAATTGGCATCAGAAGGAGACGACTTCTTCAATGGAGGAAAAACTGATTCGCTAGCACTAACACTGCCTGCAATGTCAATCAAGCAATAATTACTGCAAATGCATATTTAAGTATGAAACAAAAATTTAATGTTTTTTCAATTTTTTCATGTATTATTTCATTAATTTTACTAAAAAATTATGAAAACTCAAAGAAAAAATTGACGTATCATTGTATACCTGTTTGGTACTGCTCCTGTTGATTCGTATCGGAAGGTATTTGATTGTAATTAATAGGCACTTCTTCGGTAGACTGTATATCGCCGCGAGGTAGATTAACGCTTTTGATCGGATATGCTTCGTTCGTTACGGATTGTAGTTTGGCATAGTTTCTTGAGGGTGGCCTTAATTCAATCACATCCGCCTGGTTATTTTCCCCATACGGAACGTATTTCTGATCGTTTTCCAAAGTGGGTTCTGGGTATTGATTGTTCTTCAACACTGTATTAATTTGATCGTTATTGTACGGCGAATTGTCGAATTCGTGCCGTACGGTACAGCAGACTTCGTGACTGAGCTTGCATTCTTGCACCTGTGAAGTAAACAAATATTAAATCTGAACTATTAAATTGAAATACATTAAATCTATTAACACATAAATTATTTTAGTGAAATATTTTAACAAAATAGATTGAATTCTTTTAAAAAAGAAATAAACCTTACCTGTCCTGGTCGAATAAAGCCTTGTTTCAAGGGATGCACGTATCCGTTGATACACAGACTTTTGGCTACGCAGACTTTATTTTCACCACTGCAGCTGATGGTGAAATCGTCCACAACGCTAGGATAAGGCTGCAACAGCGTTGGATCGGACTGATATATATAATCGGAATTGTGCTGCTTCTGCAATTCTGACGGAACATGCTTTTCATATCCTTCAAATGTATCTGCAGTATTATAATAGAGTACATGAACAGTGTTATAATAATGTATATTATTAATTTTTCTTCTTATTAAGTGGAATGTAGTATTGAATCTTACTTTGTTGCAATTGATCCCATTTAAATGGCGTTTGACCAATCTGTTCCGGAATGATGTTTGTTTTATAGTTAGGATAGACATTACTTTGAACCTGGGAAGCGCTATTGTCACCATACCAAACAAGTTCGCCTTCTGAAGCATAAATCGCCTCAATTGAAAGCAAGCGCAACTTATTTTATTTTTGCGAAGAATAACCTTGTATTTTTTTAGATTTTTAAAAATATTTTCACAGAATAAAATATTAAACGATTCTTAAACGTTATTTATTTGATTCTTTTGTTGATTTTATTATTATAAAAAATTCATAATTATCTTATTAAACAATTTAATATTACTTATATGTTTTTGACAAATTCAAAAAATGCATTAAATTCTATATATGTATATACTGACGTGTTTGCAATTGCGGTGACAACTCTCTATAAGGAAGTCCACGTATGTGCATAGCTAACGCTACTACGATTAGTAGCATTTCTAGCGGTAGTCTCATTGTGAAAATCTGCAAAATAGAAACCCATATTGAACGACAATTATTTTTACCTGTATGACGTGAAATGTCTGGGCACATGCTGTGAACAAATAAATAAACAGAAATTCCATTAATGTCAATTCGATGTCTCACGAACCGCACGACATCCACAAAAAAGAAGATTTTTGTACACCTCACCAGCTGTGAACCGATCGATTTTTTGCGAATATCTCAAATCACATAAACCCGATATAAAAATTGTATAAACTTTTGCAATAATGCTTACGATTCTTTAACTTGCAGGCAACCAGTGATGTATTTTAAGATCGAGAAATAATCGCGTAAGAGAGTATTTTTTTATGTTTTTATTGCACGCCTATCTGTACTCGCTTTAATAATCACTGACCCAAATGCAGAAAACATAACAGCGCATTACAGCAACACTCGTACAACTCTGAGCTTCTAACATGAGATTATAACGGAGGATTATGGTTACAGGAATTGCATTCTGTAGATGTGTACGTGTGTGTATGTGTAACGTAGGAACAAAGATTTTTCGTGTAGGAGTAATTCATTCATAGTGTCGATCTTTAGCGACACAGATGAGATACAAATTTACGCAGAAAAATAACATTATAAAAATGCGCATCAGTTGTTTTTCCACGCACTTATATTTTTACATGACCAATTAATAAGAATATTTGCGCTTTTTATGCAAAGAGTAATTTGATTATCATGACTTCCTTTAGGGACTCCGCTTAGTATTTTAAATGTTTTTAACTTCGTCTTTATACTGAAGCGTGATAACTGACATTAATCACAAAATTTATATCTCCTGATGCATAAATCTATAATGTATATAATTTTAATATTATCGAAGTGTTGATGTTACTTTGGTATTGTGCGATATTTCAGACGGAACGATTATTCGCGAATAATATAAGTCAATGCGGCAAATAATTTATAATTAACAATAAGAAGCGAGATATGATTTTCAATATGCACCTTGTATGTTATATTATATAGTTGTATTTTATATAAGCGCGTGGGACGACGGAGTATCAATGGCAGAGCGTACACATAAGAACACTTTCATACTCGGATCGTTTAGTATTTTCTAAGAATGAAATAATCGTGTTCAAGGATGTGGTTTCTGTCGTTTGATTATTTATGTGAAAATTATATCATGTGGCTTGTATAGAATATTGTATAGAATATCAATGCTTATTTACATGCCGCCGATAAGTGTATAGGTACTAATATCATCTGTAAACAATGTCATTTCATTGGATTAGATCAGGTCAGGGCTATAAACGGCAAACAAAATGCAGTCATAAAGAATCATATTCTGATATTTCGGAAAGTTTATTAGTGTCCTTATATTCTTTCTTATTGACAATGTAAAGAATAAATATTATTTAAAATTTTTCTTATTTGTTTTACTTAATTGAACATTTAACACATTAAACAAGATAGAGTTCAGTGTAATAGTGGAATAATTCATCTCTTTATGAACTCATAAGAATTAATCTAAATTTTACTTCTTTAATTATATAAAATTTTTTGAGAACTAAATTAGATTGTTGAATCTTTCAGTTTCATGTTATTATTATTGTATCACTGTATATTAAGTCTTATATGAAACAAAAAAACTTCTAAGATGTCTATCGGACAATTGATTAACACGTTCTATGCTGATCCGTTTTTGTGCTACTTTCCATTCTGACCGCGTGTACTACCGACTGCCCACGCTAGCGCATTTATTATTTGAGTTCAAAACGTACATATTATGATAAATTTAAAATTGAAAAATGTATTATTATCAAAATAGAAAAACATTAAACAAAATGCAATGTAAAACAAATACATGTAAAACAAAATATTAAACGGCTTAAGTGGAAAGTTCAGCGTGGGCCATTGGTGGTACACGGAACGTGTTAATATGTCTCACCTACAACACTAAATTGACAAATTATTGTGTGTTTTTAAGAGGATGCTAAAGTCCTACTTTACCGACCTGTTTTTTTAATTTTCTAGAAAGTATGGCTTTTTTTATTGCTTTGATAGAATTACAAATCCTTTTGTGCAAATAAAGTACACATGCTAATTTTTCGGCTGCTGGTCAAATTTAAACCAAAAAATAAAAAAATTTTTTTAAATTTACCGACAATGTCACCTCAAAGAATTATATCTTTTATATCAAAATTATACTGCTTCAATCTGCAAAACAAGGCCAGAAACTGAAGAAGAGCGTATGAAACAATAATGGAAAACCAAAAAAATAGAGCTTAGAGACTTATTTTCAAAAAAAGCCATACTTTTTCAGATTTATGCAAAGCATGCGTGCAATATAAAAAGAATAAGGTAAAAAAGAGCTATAGATTAGTTCCGGGATTTTGGGATAGAGGCGCTATACAGTTCTCAGTGCTAGAGTACCTCAAGTGAGAGTACGGACAACAGGGTAACGATCGGTGATTGGTCCGTCAAATTGAGGCAAAAGCGGAAGTAGCATGTCCGTGCGCACCAACTGTGTATACCACTGTTTGAAGAGAAATTGTTTCTAATTAAAATAATTCTGTGCTTTATATGAGAATAAAATATAAATAAGAAAAGAGGTGAGTAGTGAAAGATTGCATGTGCATATACGTGTTACAGCTCTGTTTGTGCTTATCAGCTTTAATATTACTGCAAAATAAAATATTTGGTATATATAACTCATACATTCAAGATAATTCATTTTATTAATTCCCTTTATGTTGTTATATTTTACAGGAGGATATTCTATAGGTTAGTTGAAACTTTATATTTATATATATAATTTTATTGATTGTGTATATATGTATTTGCTAATGTACATAATATCTTTTCATTTTATACAGACTTATTTCTTCGAAACTGGATTATGAGAACAAAGAGAAAAAAAGACGAAAATGAAGATATAGAGGAGAAGATGTAATTGTATATTCTAATTTATTATCTGTATTATGCAATTTTGTCGTCAATGATAATATATTGGATGCAAATTGTATAATAAAATATTTAGGTATCTATTAAAAATAAAATTTATTAAAAATAGTTAATATCCTATTTTTAATTAAACAATTCTCTTTCATTCTATTTATATCTCCTTTCATTTATACAGTATAAAATCATTGTTATATGTACAATTTCAGTTTTACCCTTCAGAGCATATTTGAAAATGCGCGCGCTCTTTAGACACGTTTCCGGTTTTGCCTCATTTATGTTCTGTTGTCCGTACTCTTACTTGAGGTACTCTACTCAGTGCTATCTGTCATATATATCAGAATCTTTTAGGTTAGTTGTGTGTGTGTGTGTGTGTGTGTGTGTGTGTGTGTGTGTGTGTGTGTGTGTGTTGTT